TTGATAGAACTTGTACATCACTTTTATTTAGATATTTTGAATTTTTTTTATAAATTATAAATTATGACATAAATGAAATGAATTGTTAAATTCTTGAGTACTCTTCTTTCCTTCAAGAGGGAGTGATTTATTAGTTTTAATATTTAATAAATTTTGAGGTCTTGAATGCAATTTTTTCAAATTACATGAGTATAAGTGTAAAAAGTTAATAATAGGTTTAAATACAATAAAAAAAAATTGTAATCTAAATTTTGGATTGTACAATATAAATTATTAGATTAAATAAAAGTAAACTTTTAAATTTGAGGATTGTCTTCTGATCTAACATATTTTATTTTATAATTTGATACAATTTAAATTATTAAATTAAAAATTCTAAAAGAAAAGATAAATTATAATTTTTAACTTGTCCCTTTCAATATTTAATTTCTAGGGACTTAAGTACAACTTTCTTAAATCACATGAGTATAAGTGTACATTTTTGTGATTTGGGGTCAAGTGATCCCCAACCACATGGGCGGGGGGATAAGTGCAATTTACCCTAGTATTAGTTTAGGAAATGTAGATCGGTGAAGTGGCAAGGGTTTGCAGGAAAAGTGGAGAGCTGCTTAATGAAGACAAGGCAAAAGATTAGGACCACTAGGTTTATGGGAACAGCGTCCCGGCAATATGGTCTCAATTTTCAGGTAGGACATTAGTTTGGTTGGATTTTTGCATCACAGGAAGTTGCAGATTGAGATACTAAAATCTTACAACATGTTCTCTTGCTTGCAAATAATTGCAGTATAACTTTATAAACAAAAGAAACAACAATCTGTTAAAGGAGAAAGAATTAGAACAAAATTGATCAATCTGTCAGTATTATTAATCTGAACTAAGTTTTGATATCGAATCCTTACGTGTATATATATATATAGTAAGTGATTTCTTTGAACTATTTCTTTTATTTATAGATGTTGAAGTTAAGTAGGTAACTTTCATATAATTAGAATATGCATCCATTTTGGTAATTGAAGTTCTATAATGTCGCAAAAGAAGTGGCAAACAGCCTGTAAAGGATAAAATATGAATTGTTTTTAGATAAAATGTAAAACTTATTCTATCCAATACTATAATACAATGCAAAGCAGCAAGTTATATTGTTATAAATTAATCAATTACAAGATAAAATAAGATTTAAAAATCAATCTTTCACTACCATCTCAAACCCCAATATTGCTCAGCAATAACCCTAAAAAAGAGGAGATGCTTTTGGTTAAGCCAAACAAAAACTTTGCTGCGGACTTCAAACTAGATATAAGATAGGATCATTTCTTAACTAAGGATAGAGTATGAATTGTTTTCATTAATTCTAAATTATGATTCAATTAATAATAGTATTAATTTAATTAGGTAATTAAAATCGGATAGGGTCATTGGAGTGAAGTGAAAAATCTATTGAACACAAACCGACACAAGCACCCACACGTGAGGGCACTCGGTTTGCTTGCACTCATACACAGAGCCCAAAACTTTCAACGAAATCTTTTACATTTAACAAAATCCAAGAAGAAGTTTCAGTACACACGGAGAAACACAGCTACAGCTAGCTAGCATTGACTCTCTCCCTTCTTGTAGGAACATGCGTGCACTTCCATTTTACCTTATCTTGTAATCAATATTGAACTTGAATTCATCCATGTACACTGTATTTTGTATTCCAATGAGTAAATTAGAAGCTGGCTATCCCTAATAATCTTGCACTGGATAGAGAGAGATCTCCCCTACATAAGTTTCTGTTAAGAATGTTTATTGACACAATATTGGGTTTTGATAAAAAAAAAAAAAGGTAGCATAAAGTACTGATGGTACATTGATTTCACTACAATGACTGAAATGAGTGGAAGCTGCCTCGCTTCTTCTTCTTCTTCTTCTTTTTTTTAGTTTGAACTATCAAAATGTCTCCATATCAATTTTTATGTTAAAAAAAAATTAATATTTTCTTATAATCTTAGGGATACATATTTTACATCAATTTGATACATTAAAAAATTAATTTTTTGAGTATTAATTCAATATTTAAATTTTAAACTTGACAATCTTTTTAAAATAATTATGGTACTTGGGAGGTGGGGGCGTTTTTAGCCATTGGGCTTGGAGGGTAAGGCCCCTGCCAAGGTCTTCCCATTCTTGATTTTTCAACTTGTCATGATAAAGTCCACTAACTGGTAGTTCCTCAATTTGGGTCAAAGAAATGAAGCTTTAAGCCCAATTATGCAGAGTCCCGAATCCCAAAGGGGGAAATTTTAGCATTTGGGCTTGGGGGTAAGGCCCACTCCGACTAGCCACATAGGCCTTCCATTCTCGATTTTTCAACTGGACGAGAAAGCCCACTAACAGGTAATTCTGCAACTTGGGTCGAAAGAAATGAAAACATTAAGCCCAATTATGCGGAGTCCGAACTTCGAAGCCCTTTTCTCCTAACCGATATACATTTGAAATTTGCAATTACATCCTTCTCCAAGTTTCAACCAAACTTTCTGGGTACAACTTCTAGTTTTGACATTGATTCTCAACTAAATTAACAGGTACATATTGTCATGTAGTGAGGCAAGTAGGTTCGGATTGCCTTTTTTTGGAACAATTAGAGGATGGGGGGAAGGAGACCAAGGCTTTGAACCTTGGTTGCTGGTGCCACCACTCTTTTTCCTAAGCTAAGAGTTGTAGCCATCAGACGACATGGTGGTTGGCATGGCTCGGATAAATTGGGTAGGATTTAGATCCAAAATAATATTATCTTGGTTGAAAGAGACATAATCTTTTTTGCAATATTTCAATGAAAATCTAAATTTCAAAATTTTCATGGTTGTTTTTGTTAATATCTCTTTAATTATTGAATCGATATCTTTATTAATCGTTATAAATCACATTTTAACTCAAAGATTTGGCATCATTAATACCTTATTGGATCTGAATCTCAATTACTAAATATATAAAAAGAAAAAGGATTTTACAATGACTCAAATATGCTTAAGATGTACTTTAATTAAAAACTTAAAACACATGACTTAGGCATGTCCAGGAATGGAATTGAATTACATAATGATGAAAACACAGTTGTCCTGTTGTCCACATGTATCTCTTAATAATCAATAATAAATTGTCATCATCTGATTAAATAGTGAATTGAATTTAAGGTGCTTGTATTTGCTGCTGCCAGTTTCCAACAGCGGATGGTCAATTGCCATCTGGAAAAGCTGGCCTGGTTCTGGAGGCTCGACCAGCATGTTATTCATGTTAATTGCCTAGCTGCCCCCCCTTGAAAAAATTGTCAAGATGTCCAATAGGCATTTTATAAATATTTTTTTCTTAATATTGGGAACTTCGAAAGCAAGTATCTCTCAATTCTTGATGCAGACCCATTTTTTAATAAATTTATTCCTTTATTTTGTCCATGCATCTTTACCAAAGGAAAATTCATTGTCCATGTGTTGATCTCCCCATGCAACAATATAGGACATGTTATAGTCACACACAAAAATGTTATAATTACTAATAAGAAATTAGTTTTGAAATAATATTTATTAATTTAAAATTAAGATAAAAAAATTAAAATTTTTGTGTTATCAAACAATTAATTTTCTTTAGCAAAAAAAGGTTATAACCACTTAAATTTT